CATCCCCCTTTTCTCCAACCGTGCCACAACAATATCACCGTAAACACCAAAGCAGTGCCAGCGAACATTGATACCAATACGAAGAAATTCATCCATCTTATATCTGTGGTGTTCGAATTGTTGTACAAAATAAACCCACTGATGAGCCACAGCAACCCACTGGCCAACAACTCATGATCACTGGCGATCGCCACACCGATGGCTACACCGCTAATGCCGGAACAGCCATCAGCACCGGTATGTTGCTCCAGAAACAGGCGATATCCATGGAAAACGATACAGCCAGAAAACTCAGACCCACGTGCACCATCATCGCCGCACCAGCGGGGATGGGAGCAATTATTAATAAGCCCACGAGAAGACGCAGTGTAACAGGCTGGGTATTACGTCCCGGTTTCCGTGTTTATCGATTAGCCAACCAATAAGGGGTGCTATCACACTGATGTCCGGTATTATTCCGACGACGACGGCGGCTTTGGCTTCCGAGTAATCGTACATTTCCTAGAGAACAGCGGAGGAGATTAGTTACAAATTCTTGATGGAATGCAAAATTTTTGAATGCTATGAAGGGACGTTATAGTGATTCATTAAACCAACCCTTTACACCGGCCCAAGTCGAGCAATATGCGGAAGACTGCAGCACTGCCTTTCGTGGAAAGGGTGCAGTTTGGTGTCCAGAAATTATTGGCGCCGTGGATGGTTCGCATATTTATATTAATGCTCCGTCTGAGGGCCCAGAAGGTTACTACAACCGGAAGCAGAGATGCAGCGTTATTGAAACAGAGGCATTCAGCCGAGCCGGTGGACAACACCCTGAAATGCCGGCACGTCCTGCGCGACATGCACGAGTGCATCCTGCGCCAGCCGCACCGACTGCAGCCGACGGCGTCGCCCAGCGTCCTGGACGTGCGCTGCGTTGCCGGGCAGTCGGCGCTGAGCGCGTCCAACACGGAGCCGGAGTTCAACGAGGCCGTGACCTTGGTATGCACCACCGGCGTCAACATGGTGTGTCGGTCGGTGTTTGTCAAGTTCCTCAAGACGTTCTACAAACAACTGGCGACATAATCAGCGAACCGCATTAATTAAGCCAAACGTCGTGACCTTTACCCATTTTTGCGTCTGTTCAAAGTGTCCCAGTTTGACAGGATATGGTATTGTGCTGTCCATTAAAATTTGGGATTTTTCTCGTTAGAAGTTATTGCTTGTTAGTCGACCTCTGGTGTTGCTCAGACTGAACGCCGAGATTCGCCATGTCGTGATGGCATCTGTCGCCTTACGCTCCAGGGTGACATCGCCGTTTGCGCTACCAAAAACAATACTCAGTATGTACTGCATCACAGTGATTGCTAAAGTGAGCGACATTAAAATTGCTGACTTACTCTGCCCAAGCGGTCTCGAAAAGGAAACACTGACGGAAGTCTTTGAGTGTCTGAGCCGGTTGCTGCAAGCCGGGATCAGAGGCGACGCTAATCCGTAACCACTATTGTACGATGATGATCCGTAATTTACGTAGGAATCGTATCCTCCACCACCCCCGCCACCATTCATACCAAATTCAAAACCTTTATTGTATCCGAAACTAAGCGAATAATAACCTTGGAGACGTGGAAGTGGTGTCGTAGAGAGCTTGTGGTCTGAAACTGATTGCTGTACACGACCGGAATCGATCGCTTTCTGCAGTTTGCAAAGATGCCGTTATGATAACCGTCGGCTGTCATCGAATTGTATAATAATAAGTACTGTTTTTTGCTTTAGGTCGACATCATAAACATTACAGAAAAGTAAGATCTAAAAAAATTACTGGATCATAAGCCAATACAAACAGCAGCTGAACTGGAACGCTGGTTAAGGAAATTAGCAACGCGTGCGTCCGCCGAAAACTTTCAAATTTTCCGGCTCATATGGCGCACAACTTGCCTTACAACCGGTCCACGCCAAGCACTCCCAGCATTTCTACAGCATACATAGCATAAAACAATATGCTATGTATATTCGCCATCATTGGGTAAGACAGCGGAAAGCTGCGTCAACTTTGGGCAACAGCGAATATTTAAACAAATGTCTGCCATAAAACTGTGAATTTCTTGTTCATGTTTACATCAGTTTATTTTACTACTATTTTTTTAGTAGCTTCCTGTGAACCGTATGTCGCATCGCTGTGTAGAGTGTTTGCTTTGACAGCAGACGTCGCTTTCGAATATCCGATCTGGAAATCTCGCACTAATTTTTGCAGTGTTACCACTGCCGCAATGTTTTCCTGTAATTTTCACAGCACTCTGCTATTTCTCAGCAGCCGGTCAAATTTACTTTGTATTTTGAACAGCCGGTCACCATGCTCTTCTGTTCTCTCTTCCTCCCGCTCATTCTAAAACCGAATAAACTCTGCAGTCGCAAAACTTGTTCAGGGGTGAATTCAAAATTTACCTCCATTACACACGTTAGTGAAAAGTGAATCAGGCTCCACCATGTAACCATGGAAAATGTAAAATGCCACATGGAAGCTAATGACCGGTTTTTCAAAACGTGGTAAGAGTGACCAGTTGTTGAGGACTGCCGCAGTATCGCAGATGTTGTCTATATTGACAAAGAAAAATGAACCTGACACATGCCCTGTTCGATCGCCGACCCATTCAACAACGTATTCTAATACTGACCATTATTCCGTACTTCGCTTTTTCTCATATTCGGGTCACTTTAACTATACATTTTCATATTCCGGTCACCAGGTAGCAAAATGTCCTAACAAGACAAAATTCAAAGAAATGGTTAGTTATATGAAAAGGACCTTTATCATTATATTCGAAGCGTAAACAGCAATAATTTGTCCAATCAGCAGCTAATCATGTAGTGCGCAACTTGAGGGATCGTACCAGTGACCGGTGACCGGAATATGAGAAATACATTGAAGTACTCAGAAAACGAATTCCGATTAATATGCGGTTCTGTTCCGGTTGGGGTACGGTATCTACAGTTTCGAAATGCATCTTGAACGGGTGCCTCGAACAATCAATCTTTTCGTACGAACTTTTTGAAACTATCAATGTTTTCGAAACGAAACGTGGTTAAAGAAATAACTATACTAAAACAAATTCCTAAAACTTTCTTGTATCTTCTGGGCGGTAAGCCCGGATTGATTTGGCTTTTCAAGTACCTCACAAATAACTGTAACGAGACACATTGTAGCGGATCAAATGAACACAGGTAAGATAGTAAAAGATACAGTTTTCCGGGATACATGGTAAAAACATTTTGAAAAAGTATTTCACATCTTCAAGGCGGTGGGCCGGGATTCGGTTTGCTTTTGAAATAGCGATGGTTGATCGATGGTTGACAGTTTTGCAGCGACAAAGATTGTAGTCAAGTTTACGAAGGCAAAGAGTTACAGCCACTGTCATTTCAACGGGTGGAAATGGTCCAGGTGGTTGGCTCATCTACAGGGGTGCTACGCCAAGTTCGGGCAGTTGTGTAAAATAAATATTATAGTATTTCGATTGGTGTTTTCGTTCTTTGTTTTTGACTTTCCTAGTGTAACTTTTTATTGCAAATCCAGCAGGAACAAAACTGGAATCTTTCAGTCTGTCAGTAACGAGCTAAGCCTTGAGTAAGGGGGAGGGGCAGCGGTCATTTTTAAGGTCTTTATACTGGTCTCTATAGCAAATTCCCCAAACAAGATCTTTGCACGGCATTTTTTGAAAATTAATGAGTTGTCCAAAAGGTGTTTGGTACGGGCTAACAAAAGATTCTTGCGTCATCGGTGGTCGAGGTACCCACCAAACCACTTTGATCTCCCATAGACTTGTATGTTATAACGTACCCACCGACGGATGTGGTTGCCTAACGCAGAAGCATAAGTAACCTCGAGCGAACATTTTTCGTGGATAGAATATTGAATACATTAAACGATTTTTAAGTTTTGATGGACATCCGCTACGCGAGTAGGGGGGTGAAAGCGCCGGACAACTGGAAGAAAAACCGTACAAAGCGACAGGCAAAAAAAGTTATGGTTGCCGTTTGAGTTTGCTACGGCGAACAGTTTCTAACTAATTGTGCGGATAAAAGCTTTTAAATAGGGGTTCAGTACCTTGCAGACGAGATTTTATAAAAACCGGTGGACGATAACAACATGTGGTTTCAGGGCAAGCGTTTACAAAGGGTCACCATCAACTTTAACTATGCCCACAGTCACATTACAAAGGTCACATGGATTTAATTGAATTTGAACGATCTTTGACATAATCTGCAAGAGCATTAAACGACAAACACGTTAGATTTAATTTCTTTGGATAAGGACGTCAGTGGGATTTTTAAGCAAATTATAAATAGAAGGGAGGCTCCCATGGTGCATGGGTCGAGCCGCATTTTTAAGCAGGTCTGCTCTAGTTTTAAACTCGCTGCAATTCGGAAGACGCTATCAGCGTGGAAGACTACAGTGCAAAAGATGACGGACTCCTATGATGATACTATAAAAATTAAAAAAGTTTGTAATTATTGCCGGGTGACCTGTAGTAATTTTTGAGAAAAAGTGCCCGAACTTGGCGTAGCACCCCTGTAGCTCGACTCCCAGGAACTAAGCCAAAGGTCACACTGGGCCGTGAACGTTGACGCTCCGTTGACTGGTGTTAAATCGTGCATTCGCGGAGTCGTGACTTGTATATTATGGACATGAGGCGGGCGCGTGCTCGAGCTCGGTTGAGAGCGCAGGGTTGTTGGATGCAAAAGGATGCCGGCGTACACCGTCTTAAATCTCGGTCTCCGGCTACTTCGATCTGTGTAAAAACTAGCTTGATTGCCAGGTAGACCTTTCTCATTTATTACAATTTTACAAGTTTATAATAATTATTTGCGCAAATACGCGCGCACGTCGTGCTCCTCGTGGAAATGTTGTACGATGCAGCTGATTAATCTGGTCGGATTTAAATCAAAGGTCAAAGTGCAGTGAATGCACGATGTGCAGCGAAGCAGCTTGCACTTGGCATGGCTCGCCAGCTTTTCGTCTTGATCACATGTTTTAGTTTTATTATACTTAGTATTTGCTCGTACGGTATTATAACGTTAGTAAATAAGCTTTGTCCAACTACACCGTCGGCTAAGAATTATTAATTAGCGTTTCGTTAATGTCATTAGTGTGTTTTACGCTGAAGGGATTCGTATAAGCGTATTGACAGGATTATACAGAGTACGGCATCATGCAGCGCGAAAACTGGATATGGCTAGTTTTATTGACGTTGGCTGTGAGTGCAGACAGCTGCTGTCTTAACTGCCAGTAATAAATTATAAACTCCTACTAATACCGAGGGTGTAATTTCCATTGGCCGTATGTGCAGGTGTGCTGGAGAGTGCCCGCTGCGCAGCTGGAAGGCGTCTTCGACCGACTGTTCGACCTGTACGACAGCAGCACGGCGCGGGAGTTAACCGGCCACTTCCGGCTGGAGGCGCGTCTCCTGCGGCTGGAGAACCCCGACGGCCTCCTCGGCAGCGGCAGCCGCTGCGACACTGTCGGGCCCTGCGATCCCGTCATCAGCGCCTACATCGACTAGTGCGTACAGTAATGCACGGGCATCTGCCTACTCCGCGTTACCCGCAAACACTACTACTGGTACAAGCTTAATTAATTACGTGTCGGGTTGGTTGTATGTCAGTGAGACGGCCAGTGCGGTGGCCGGGACGCCGGAAGCGCCTGATTACATCACGTACACACCCGTCCTGGAGGTGCGTGACGAAAACTCACCGGTGATCAACAAAGTCCTGTCGCGCGACACCTGCGGCCGTACCATTAAAGTAAGTGCATGTACGTCTTACAAAACTGGCGGCCGCATCGATCACGACGTTTTGGGCAGAATAAACCGCACAAATTTAAATCACAGCGCATGTGTTTCTTTTGGCAGAAAGTGCTAGTGCGCGTGCACGTCGTGGATCACGACAGGTGAGCTGCGTATTATAGTAATATTTCTTTGGGTAGCTAGCTGCGCTGCAAACATGACCCCAGTGCGTCGGATATAGGTATAAATATAATATTACATGAGTGATGTATCGTATTGTGGCTGCGTAATTAGTATGCGTAGTGCAGACTGAGCTCGGAGGATCTGCTGGACGATTTCGGGTGTCACGTCAAGATGGACCAGGAGCCGGCCGGCAACATGGAGCTGGCCGAGTGGTCGCGCGAACTCTACTGCCTGCCCAAGTCCGGGTTGCAGAAACTCAGGTCGGTGTGCTGCAGTTGTACGAGTAGGCTGATCCGCAGATGTGTCCACAAGGAAAGAGCCGGTTAACTGCAGGTTGTCGTGGAAGTACCGCTTCTTCCGCGTGGACCCCGAAGACTGCCGCACCATGCTCAGCGCCACGCTGGCACAAGCATAACTGCCGCTTCACTTCACCGGTAGCCGCGCCGTCTCCTTCGCATTTCAACGGAGCCAACGAATCAAGACTACGGGACTGCAGCTTGCTGTACAGCAGTGCATTATAGACATTATAGTGACTAGTTATACCAGTACTACCGCCTTTTCAAACATGTCCCACCACAGTTGTGTATGCACGCGCTGATGCGGACACCGGCGGTCGCAGGCGTCCTGCGTTGATCCTTCCACGCATCTGTATCTTTCCTGCACTGCCATTATAAGTTTACATAATATATAGATCTACATATTATAAATTTGCGTGCAGTTTATGCTTGCATAGGCTACTGTACGTTTTATTTGGTCGCAAAGGCATCAAAAGTAATCAACAGCTGAATTAATATTTTTATCGTTATTATTCTTATTGTTTATATTATCATTATTTGGGATTTTAGGTTTACGTTTCTGTGTCATAGACAGATGAATTTCGACTTGATTTTTATGCGTAAGAGCTTCATATGGTAATGTTAACGCGGCAAAGCATTACGATTATGTTTCTGTATAAATTCTGTATATTAGGTGTACACCTGTAAAAACTGCAATTCGATACTCGTAGATTCGTAGTAAGTAAGCGACTAATTAACCGTAAGCGTAAGTAGATATTTAAGAATAGATGCGAAAAGAAGCGAGAAGGCGGCAAATTCAATTAGGTCTTCTGTTTGGCTGCACGTCGCATCTACAGAGTGTATTCTGAAGGTCCTCGCAATCGAAGAAGGAGAGAAGACCGCGACCGGAGTACATGGCCATTAACCAGCCGCAAAGCAGCCGGTTAATGGTGTACGCGCATATGCGTGGCCACACGTTACTGACGTTAGCGCTAACCGGGCCGCAAATCGATCCAGTGCCGACAACCGCTTCCCGGATGATAGTCGGAGATGGAGACGGGAGGCAGCATATATCTGCGCAGCGGCAAGTTGGCTAAACACCCCGACCAGCCGGCGGTGGGCGGTCGCCAGCCGCGTCAAGTATACAAAGGCCGGCAGAACGCTATTGACATTAATACTGTTGATGGCCGCGGAAACCAGCCACCGCCATCACTCAGTCCGTTCAGCCGCACACGTCCAGCTGACAATGTCCCACTTTTTTGCAGCCCTAAGCCTCTTCCCGACACTTAATCCATTCGGCCATTAGCAGCGTCCATACATGTATTGCATCCGAGTCATCCATCGTGCCCTCTATTGAAACATTATGTCCGCAGTCCGGATCTTGTAATCATGTAGCTACATGATTACAAGATACTTTATACTCCTCTATAGAGGAGTATAAACGTCGCCGGCTGCAATTCATTTACGCGCCGTCTGATTGATCCCATTAAGCGCTTGACGCCATACGCTCAATCCGCTCCAGCCGATCAGCCGCTCCAAGCCACCCCGTAGGCACTGCACGTACAGTCCGTTGTAACCTGTACTTTATTAATCAGTCATTATGCCTAGCAGTTATCATACGGTCCACCTAGAAATTGCGTATCTGTTTAAGCGAGTACTGTACATACGAAGATGCGCGTAACGTGAAGCTGCGAATGCGGACATGCGTTTGATTATGTACTTGCGCAGTGAGTAAATCAGTAAATGGGATAAGTGATGGTTTATTGGCGCGCGATGATGATGATGATGCGGACTTGATGTGTCTGTCCTGTGCGGCGGCAAATGGAGCTAGATGTAATACATATGTAATCAAGACCGCCGCTCAAGCGCGAACCATCAACGCTTCCGCTCTCTTGCGTCCTTTGTCGTGCCGTCCATGCACAGCACACATACACGTTATAATACATCCGCCGGCCTCAAGATTCTCCATTTAATAGAGTGCTCCTCTTTTGTATTGTATCTCGCCAACTGGAAGCAGCCGCTTCCAGCCGGCGCCCGCCCGCCGCAACTTCACCGCGGCGCACAATACGCCCAATTTGCACATAAGCCCGTCCATCCTGTTGCCGGCTCTACCGAATTGAACTGACCGGATACGTTCCGGTTCGCAATCGGTTTGCAGGCTGTTTAATTTGTTCTTTCCAGTAGGATGCGCCCTGTCCTCTGCTCGACTAGATGTGCCAGGCGCTCATGCGTCGCACGCACTCGACACATTACAATTTATCGCTAATGCCATTAATCGATTGCTTTTTTATTTCCCCATCATCACTCAATACAGAAACGATGCGGCTGCAATACACTTTTCAGCCTAGCTGGCGTTAAGGCGTTAATAACTGCTGCCGGCAGTCGGTGACCTTTATACTGGAGATACACAAATTTATACACTTTATTTGTATACACAAACACTTTATACACTTTATTTCTGCACATACTTGATATATATGTATAGGTATGAAAGGTACAATGATTATATGTACAAAATATAAATTTTAGATATTGTATATAATATGTCATACTGATACATACTATGTGTGCATAAAGTATACAATATCCTTTATATGTGCTGTATATAAAGGATATACGGTATATATACAATATTATACATAGGACTGTATATAATATAAGATCGTATAGATTAAGTTTCATTACGACGAATATGAATATGCTGCAAAGAAGGCATGTTCGATCTCCCGCTGTCTTGTCCTATCGTCTCCAGTGCATTATTATGATTGTGGCATATGCATGGGAGTAAATAGCCTAGCGCACAATGGCCGTGTGATGTTGATTGTCAACAGAATAATTGTAGCTAGCTTCCGCCGGCGAAATTAAAACGTCCCTGTCTATACTTGCAACACTGGCTGATGGTGGATCGTCAAGTGGAACGAAGCATTTACAGCCGACAGATGTCTCCGCTTCTGTTCCGCCTGTGTTTGCACAATACACGCCATACAGTAATACAGCCAGTGCATCCCCAGGCGCTTATTCACCACGGTACACAATTATTTCAATCGCGCTCGTAACCGTTTCGACGCGACGCACGGGCATAACACTATTATCAGGGTCATCGCCGCTTCCACAAAACCCTACAACAAACACACGTCACTCCGTATGCTGACGCTAATCTGGTGCGCGTCGTAAATAAAGGCTAGAGTACAGTAGGCAATTCCCGGTTGAGGCGCGTGCGGGCCGCCCAATCTCAAATGAGCATCTACAGATACGCCGAATCCAATCTGATTACATTATCCTGCAGCAGTAAACAAGCGCAGCCGAAAAAATTAACGCGACGCCGTTTATTCTGGTTTAAACTAAGCACACGGAAGACTAGAATAATGCAGATCAAACTCAATCACATTCTACCTTTACACTGCTTTACATATATAATATTCGTTGCGAGAAATCTGTGACCTTTAACGCTGCCAACAGTTTGTCGAATATAAGCGGAGTAATTAAGTAAGCTAAACACAGTGATTGTGCTGGTGTTCAATGGAATGAAGGCGGCGAAGATGGGCGCTCGTGCGGTCAATCTGCTGGAATGCTGATTGCCGGGGACGATGCGTGGAGGCTGTTGTCGCAGCTTAACCCGGCTAATCATCGCGCTTTGTCTCGGGTATCGCCGCTGTCGCGGATGAGGCCAAATTGCTTTGCCCATTAAGCTTCTTTAAGCGCGCGTTTCAGCGCTCAGGCACTGGGCTGCGCAGCCGGCGGAACTTGAAGCGGAAGCGGCATGGCGTCGCGATTCAGCAGAGCGGAAAGAGATTGCTGCCGTCGCTTCCCGGGGCGGTCACCGCGGCGCCGGGGGCGTTACCGCGGAAGAGGAGACTGCCGGCCGCGGAGGGGCCCAGCCCCAGGCCCCCGGGAGGAAGGGTCAGGTGGGGGTGCGGGTGTAGGCCGGGCGGGGCCGGGACGTGGTGCAGCAGACCGGGGAGGCGGTGGGGGGCGTGGTTGGCGAAGGCCAGCAGCCGGCGCAGCTCATCGATGGCGTTGGCCTGCATGAGGATGTAGTTCTTGGCCAACAACAGCGTGGCGATCTTGGAGAGTTTGCGCACCGTTGGCCCGTTGGCGTACGGCAGGACGCCGCGCAGTTCGTCGAGGGCGTTGTTGAGGTCGTGCATGCGCTTGCGCTCGCGGCTGTTGATGCGCAGACGCAGCTCGCGGGTCGGTTTGCAGTGCAGCCCCCCGGTGGCGGCGGCGGCGGCTTTGCGTGCGGCGGAGGAGGTGGATTTGGAGGAAGTCCGTTCTGAGTCGTGGTCGTCGCGGGAGGGCGACGAGGCCAGGCTCTCGTGGTCGGGTAGGCTGCCCACGCAGTCCAGCTCCATCTCCGAGTCGCGCGAGTCCGAATCGTGATCGGCAGCGACGGCGGCGGTGTGAAGCGCTTCCATTTTATAGGCCTTCCACATGCCGGCGTTCACGGTACAGAAAGCGACGTAAAGGTCACGGATGCCGGCGAGCCTGCAATTAAGCATGAACCGTTCTAATCTGGATTCCACCTAGCATTCGACAAAGCGCATGTACAAATACGAGTATAATAGAAAATATTATCAATGCTAATAAAGATCTTACTACCTTGTACTTCTACAGATTGTAGTGAACAAACACTGGACAATGATTAATCTTATGCTTAAACACACGCACCAGCCAATCACTCTCCAATCAGGCAAGTTAAAAGTGTACTTAATTGACAGTGTGCCGAAACTGCCGTTGTACCTTGGGCGTGGGAGAGTGCTGTTAGCTGATTGGCTGCATGCGCAGCCGACTCAACGACTCGCTAGTCTTTAGGTACAACCATGCACCGTGCTGCACTCTGCACTGCGCAGGTGACTGTCACTGACGCAATGCACTTCCATGGCTATGCATGTACAAATGTTTGTCGGTAACTGCTATGACTGTATAGCTGAGCAATCCGATTACGTGACATGTACAAATATGCACGTATATATGCGGGTATTGCATACCTGAGAGTATCAGCAGTGTGTGACGACGCTGTTGCCGGCAGAGTGCGCGCTTGAGCGCGAGCTGAAGGCCGGGACTAACGAATTACGGTAATTCACTGCACTCGCAATGGATGGGAGCGGACGCGGGCCTGATTGCGCTAACTCGCGGCAGGCCGTCGCGGCAATTCCATTTCCGCCACAACGTCCAATTAATGGCACAACACGACCAGACGGAGCAGCAGCCGATGCAGCGCCGAATGACGCCCTTCTTCTACATTAACTACAGCGGAAGCTAATAGTCGTATACATAGCACAGGTCACAATTAAACGCTCCACCGCCGAATTAAGCCGGTGCAGAGTAAAAAAAGGTTTATCTAGATGACAGAAACCGAGGAGTAGAATAAGGATGGGTGTAGCCCGGGGGCGACGCGCTAATGGTTTAACATGGGATCGCGCGATGGAATAATTCGCAAGATGCCGGCCAAACGTTGCAACGGCTGTCGAGCGGCGCTGCGGATGCGATCGCCGTATTTAAATAATAACCGATTACTTGCCGGCTCCCGCGTGTACGCTTAAGATTCGGCTGGACGCTGCTTCTGTCTATATGCTCAGCGAATGGAGAGCGGAATGGCCGGCAGGCATGCCGCATCCGTCGCGCAAATTCCCAGATTATTCCGAGGTTATCCGCGATATCCCTGATGTAACTCCGATCGGCGCCGCAACCCACTAACGTCCCACATACGCATACGCAACACTAGCTCGTATCCGCGCCAATGGCAATCCCATTAATCCCCGACAAATAGCCGCGATCGTTTGTTTAAGGCTTTAAGCCGGCGATGAGCGGCGTGACAATGCGTAATTCCCCTTTAAACACGCTGACATCTTCCGCTACTGCCGCGCATGTACAGGCAATTCCCCGCAGATTGCCATTACTGGTGTGTATCAGGAGCAGCGTACGTGATTGCGGATTGTACAAGGGAGGAATACTTCTACAGCCGATACAGCCGGAAGTCGGTTAAGAGTTAAGACCGGCGTTGGGCGCGTGAAGAGGAAGACGCTCCGGCGCGGCTGAATGCCTCTCGAGAAGTATCAACGAGTTAATTGATCGAACAACTATCTATCTGTAATTCTGTATGCTTGCCCACAACATGACTGTACATGCGCCGGCTATTCAGCGGTGGCGCCGATTGTATCCACTGTGCTCTTCTCAATCGGAAGCGGGCTCCCACTGGCTACTTAACACTCGTACGACAATACGCTATTCTACTCGTACGGATACTGTATAGTGCTGTACATAAGTGCTACACTTGCCAATTCAATCCGCTCGGTCAACACAGATTGACGCCGCATGCCGCTATAAACACAAACGCTGCACTGCTGCATACAAGGGGATCCGCGGCCATGACCTTTACACAAATTATCGACGTTAATTATCAAATTAAATTTTATTTACGGATTTATGACTTTGTTTTTACTATTTTATTATTTGAAGTTAATAGATATTTTATCCATTTGTGATTTATATTGATATGTTTAAAGTTGATGTACCTATATATTTCGAATAACACATTTACGCATATTTCTATTAGGTCCGTGACCTTTACACGAATTAACGGCGCTAATTAATGTATATACTTGTTCTGTTATTAGTACAATATTTGGATATATTGTACTAAATACTGCTTCTTATTATTTTGTTATTGTCTTATGTTACTAATGTACATGTTTTATTTTTATATATACAGTATTAGTTTATAATGTTAATTTGTCTCTGTACTTTATTTAGTACGATTAATATCTTTGGTAAAACGTTTTGCCAGTTCACGCTGTTGGTAAACGTGAATTTATCCAGAGCCAAGTCTCGGTTTTGTTGTGTTTCCCTGTCGTGCATCGTTGCGGTGAAGGAAGGGAGAGCGGATTGTTGCGGGCCGGGGAGATTAGGAGCGAGTTGACACTTGTCTGCGCGGATTGGTTGCACTAGTTGACGTTTTCGCGGCACTTGGGGACAAAATCCGATTAATTGCTTTTATTCCGCAGCGGCACGCATTCACTGCAACTGCTCTGTCCAGAGCGGCACAATCTGCTCCTCCTCTTCATCTGCCGCTTCCCGCTTCCCGCACACACCAATATACAGTACCGACATATGCTCTGTTCTGTGGCGACTGCAGCGTAACAGAAGCGGCGAGGCCGGGGATGAAATGCATCGGCGCTGTTAATATCCGCTGGCCGAACCGGGATTGCAGTGCTTGCCTAACTAGCGCTATCCCATTCCCCGCGCCTCTATCTCTCCTGCGAGTGAATGCGAATGCTCAAGAGGCGCGTAACGCAGGCACTTGAGCATAACGCCGACTGATGCGACCATATTGTTCCCGCATGTGTCCGCATGTCGCGCCCATTGTGCGCGCCATCTGCTGACCGGCGCATTATCAACCATAATACTTTCATCCACATAAACACGGACAATTAATGACACATCCAGCAAAACACACCAGATTGCACATCCCTCCATCTATCAGCTATCCATATATATCGATATTCGCATTACATTATTAATCAGGCCGCGCAGTGACCTTTCCGCATCACACAGTTACGATGCGGATTTATTACCGGCATTATGGTTACTAGAAAATAAAATTGCTAATTGTTCATTGTACAGTGAGCGACGTGTTTAAGAATTTTTATCACTGCGGAAAAGAGGCGTGTTGTGAAAAGTAGGCCAACTGGTGCTTGACGGACAGTTGGTTGATTAAATATACGTATAATTCAATTAACCAGTGTGCACTCTCACACGGCCACTGCGCTTGTTAATACAGCAGTGACACTATAAGAAAGTGCGCGTGTTGATTGCAGGGTGTTTATTTAGAAACGGGATAAACACGATTACTCCCTGGATAGCATATTGTGCGAGCATATGTTGGCGAACATAATTTTATATATATTTTTATGGATTATTATTGCTGCAACAGCCGGGCACATGCCGCTTATTACGACCGTCCTGAAATGATGCGTGGCCGATGTGTTGTTGCGCATAAGCGCCATATATGCTGATCAACAGTCGAATGCATGAGCCGGGCGAATTCGTTAGTGCGGGAGTGAATGATGGCATCGATGAGCGCGGAAAGTGCGTAATGGGGAAATATGGCGGCGCTAATTTGGCCGCGCTAATTTATTCTCCCGCTCGACTATGTAACAAGGAATGCCTCCATCCCGATTGCCCGTTGTATCTGTATACTCTGTATTGCCGGGCCTCTCGGGCGCACTAATCAAAAAATCAATGATGACCGGCCCGCGCTCGCAGATTTCGGTGAAGAGCGATCTGTGGGGCATACGCTTAAGTGCCATCGGCACTTGCTTCCATTGATTGTCAGCCCGACACAATACAATTGCCATTGCCACCAGAATATATTACATGTATATGCGAGGCGAGGCACAGACAATCAGTAAATCGCTTTCCGATGCATACGATACAATATGTACATGTAAAGCTAGCGCTGTATCTGCTAGAAACAGCGAGGCGTCGGGTGCCACCGTGCCAGAGCTGATTTGCATGCAATATGGAATAATAACTGCGTCCATCCGGAGCGGCAATTCCACCGGCGCCCATCTCTGATGACCGCGCTTCATTCCTCCTCCATATATACAACCCCACCGGGACCATCCGCTGACCAGCAACGAACCGGCAGCCAGCGGCCACACTTTCCATTCCACATATGCAACGATTTTTACAGCTGTTTTACCGAATAAACGCCCAACATGAGCAAACATTGTCACCGTCCTTCTCATGATCAGTAACAGAGCATTTCTCTTAAACGCATTAGCACTGTAGTTAAGTACAGTACTTGTATACACAGTACGCCGGATAGGCAATAAATTGCTCTTACTTCTTAATATAATATAGAAAAAATGATACTGTATTCTTGATAAAAATGGTACTTATTTAAAACAAATAATAGTTTAACTCCTGCCATAGCGATACGCCATAAAGGTCACCAACAACTTCTACTGATAGAAACGGTAATTTATTATGTGGACATTCTTCTACATGGAGTTATTTTCAAACAAGTGTTTCTGAGTACATTTCAGATGGATTTGCCGAGAAATCTACTTGCTTTTGCGTTAAGTTGTGCAGGAAATAGTGATTCATTGCAGCCGGCTGGGAGCAGGAGCGCTTGCTTGGGATGAGCAAATTGTTTATTCAAATTGCTGGCGATGAGATAAGCGGCTGATTGTGCGATGCCGGCGGATCGATGCTGCGAGCGTATGTGGCCAGGAGATCGACAGCCGGCATTGTGAGCGGCTCAGAGGCATTCTCCGGCGGCGCTGCCGGGACAATTACAGAAAGGGAACAAGATGCACTTGCCGCGATACAGGGAGCCTGGTTATTCTGCATTGAGCAGCCCGCGCGAGAATATAATTGTGCCGACTGGGGATTTATGTTTCTTATTGGCTCCATCTGCTTGACATGCCGGCCGCTGATAAGCGCCTCCGCTGGGGCCGCAATATATGGTGCGTTACAATGAAACAGGGACGCCGCGAAGGACGCCGGCAAGAGCGAGCGATCGGGCCACTCACGCAGCAGTCAGGCCAGGCCGACCATTTGGCCGGCCATATATCAGCCAGGGCCATTTCCGCGCGCTGCCCGAACCCCATTGACGCAGCCGCTGTGACGGCAATATTCCGCGAGTAATTCGGCAATCTGCCATTTATCTTTTACCGCTCACTGTCGCCCATTACTCAAGCGCCAATCGTCCGCCAATCAACGCATACCGCGCACCATCCTCAATCGCAAATGATGGTCTCCGCAAACGCAAAAAAAAAGGTCACTAGTCAACTATTTCCACTGAAAAGTCCCACATTCAACGCAAACTATCTGTACAGGAATCAGCGACTGCAGTCAAGAGCAGACCAAAAAAGAAAGGAAACAGGACACGTTCAGTTGTAGAAGGGGTTGTAGGTGACCCAGTGGGCGTGGTCGCGCTTCTTGGCGTCCTCGCTGCTGGTGAAGAGGGACTTGAAGACCTGACTGGCCGCCGGGTCCGTCGCCACCGAGCGCTGCGCGATGCGCTGCACGTCGGCGTCGCGCGCCGAAGGGTGCTTGACGCTGCTGCTGGTGCGGGCGGTCTTGGACGTCGTGGCCTCCTGACTGTTCCCCTCCAGCGGCCGCTTCTTGCCCTCCCTGCTGGCCTTCCGCTCCGCGCGCCGCACATTCATCGCCTCCCGCAGCCGCTCCACCTCCTCCGCCGGCGGATTCAGCGGGATCACTTCGTCACCCGTGTATTTGTTAGGCGAATTACACTGGAGAAAAAACAACAGAAAAATCAATCATTTGGACCATATCTCGATGAAAACCATCAAATGCTACGAGTACTTTAGTAAAACGCAACAAATAAACATTTCCCAAATTAACGAAAGAAATCATTTCCAAATAAACTGCGAAGTAACAGTTAACACTGTGGTGTTCTACCATACGAAGTAAAACATAACTGAAGTAAAAGAAACTGAAGTAAACACATAATTTAAATTAAACGCCATTTTATATCACCGGACTTTAATTCCCTTCGTGACAATTGAAAATTCAAGCGGAAATTCAACGCAGCCAACACATAAAACTATTTAATCCACCATTAATATTAAGTCATTTCTACAAAAGAAATATGAATAGTCGAAATCTGAATCTAGCGAACTGGGAGTGGAGAAAGCAGTTGAACTTACGCCAGGGCATGTGTCGGATTTGAGTGCTTTCAGTGCGCGATCGGAGAGGACACAGCCGCAGCTGCGCAGGAAGGAGAAGGGATGTCGGCCGTTCATTTCCAGCCCCGTCACCGGACAGACCCACAGACACTTGTCGTACGACCCGCCGTGCTCGCCCTCCGCACTGTCCGCTGACACCGTCAACTTCAGTTCGTACACGTCCTAAAAACACGCCATTTATATTAATCTTATAATTTTTATCATTTATGATTTGCAGTATCAAAAAGCCAGCATCAGAGATGCGCTACTGTTCGAGTTCCCTGTACACCAACGGTAAATCACAATCTGCAGCTACGGTAACACATCACGTACGACGTACTATCGATTTCAAGCTGTTTTACGACTCGTGGAGATCGCTACTGTTCACATTCCCTGTACACCTACCGTATCTGCCAATACTCGGCTACAACTCCGTATCACCTGCGCCGTGTTTCACCTGAACAATGTCAACAAATTCTTCAGGAAGCAACAAACGGACTCACCTTGAGCGATTTGATATGGTCAGCCAGGGGGGAACGGGACTTTTTGGCGAGGAGCTGCTGGAGAATGGCATCCTTGTTGTAGAGACGGCCCAGATCGCAGGCGACGACGGGCTGGCGCAGAGGCTGCTGCGACAGCTGGCAGTGCTTCCATCTGGCCGCGGCCTCTGCGTCCTTGTCCGCCTGAATCAGCAATCAAGTGACTAGTGAGCACTGGGGATCAGTCAGCCAACTATTCCGAGATTCAATCAGATAACCAAATCAACGTTCCCTTACCTGTTTGGGTCGCTGCTTCTCGCGCACCAACTCCACACGTCGAGGAATGCTGCCACCGTCGTTTCCCATGCTGATTCAATCAGGATTAAACTGGCTGAACTAGCTTAGAGTAACGATCCTGCTAACCAACGAACCTTTATCGCCAATTACAAAAGGAATCCACTCTGTAATTAATTTCCAACTGGCCAGAAGACGATCATCTAGTCGAAAACAAATCCGGAAGTGAAATCTACGAAGATAAAGTATACTGTAAATCATAAATGCTGGAATGGAGTAATTGGTCTAACGCGTTGGGGCGGGGCTAAAGGCTGGGGCGTGGCTAAAGTGCGGCAGTTTACGGTGAACTTTGCCATAGCGCTTACTGGGTAAACATGGCTTGAGCCAAGCCAACCCAGTATCATAGAATCTGAGGCGTTGTAGTCAAGTAAGAGCAAAGTTATGGCGAACATTTCACGAAACTTTTATATTAAACACCTAGTACGCCATCATTGGAATATAAAAGAGATATATTTGCCATACATCTTGATGCATTCGCAAAGTGAAAAAACCCAATATCTTGACCAGGCGCAGTGTACCAAAGTGGTACTTGTTAGCACTAGTTAAGTCCGTAGTGCGTAGTTTGCGTCCGGTGGGATAGAGGGCGAGGGCTTAAACCAATCACTCCATTGAAAACAGGAAAAACAACTCGTCAGTGTACGTAAATCAGTAAACGCGCTTTAATACTGTTACAGTAAATGTAAGCGCCAACTTGGGCGGATGGCACAGTATAAAGTCTGTGACAGCAGAGTACAGTGTCGCTGGGATCCGGGGCCCAGCTACGAAGTTTTCAACTGCTTCCGGTCTTTGTATGATTGTTCCCTTTTCCTGAGGTATTTCCGTTTCCCATACCGCTGAATCCTTCCTGGTCTGGCATGGCTTACTATGGCAGTTGTACGGTGTCGTTCAGCCAGCCACCCGCAGCTGACGTATGGTTTCGGAACTGGACTGCCATTAGTCTTATCCATCGATGCTGCTGAAAATTGAGTGATGTTTTCTGATAGCGATTTCTTGGAAGAACCGACTTGGGTTTCTTAATTGATAGCCAATCTAATCAACGGCGCACACATTGTTGCCGGACAGCTTCATTTATCTTCAGCGAGATAGTGCGAAGACGCTGCTGAAGAATGATAAGATTGACGAGGTAAGCGGTAAGCCATATAAGAGCCGCGCCACTGTCAGCGTTTTCTTCATTGCTGATTGGGTCGGGAACTATTTGCATTGTCCGCAGTCATGCCATCCCTCTCGAGCCTCCTCATCGTGCTGGGCCTGGTCCTGCTGGCCAGCTCGGCCTCCGCCGCCTCCGGGAAGAAGCCGACGGACCGATCGCGGGAGTACGCGTGGGTAACGAGCGAGTCGTTCGCCTCGTGGCGCTCCATCCTGCAGAACAGCTTGCTGGGCCGCGAGCAGGCCAGCACGGGCGACAGCACCTGCAGCGTCTGCAAGCTGGCTATCGGGACGCTGAAAACCATGCTGGCACTGCCCTTCACCTCCACCAGCACGCTGGCCGGTCTGGGCGAGAACATCTGCAACCAGCTGCAGATCTTCGCCACGCCCAAGGGCTGCAAGGGCGTCATCGACGCCTACGCTGACCAGGTCTTCTACAGTGAGTACTGAGTAGCCACCAGTTTGCATTTCCGAGTTTGCCTTGATCAAGAAAAACTACCGTTTGGAAACTGTGGATTAAGTAATTTATTTTCTCAATTTTTTAACTGATTGCATTTATTTATTAATGGAGCTTTTAAATTTATTCGTTTTTAAATCAGTTTGTATTTAATTGAATTTAATGGTTAATGCAGCTGTTCTTATTCATATTGCAGTTTTTTATGTAATTCCTATTTAAGCACTCGTACTTCTTTGAGTTTAAATTTCAACGCTTAGAATTAATCCCTTAAAATTCGCTTTTGATTTCAGCGCACAATTACCTATTTGTGGTTGCAGTTCTGAAGCGGACCAAGTACTCGGCGGGACTGCTGTGCAACCTGCTGACGGGGCTGCAGTGCGAGGAGGACGAGACGGTGCTGCACTGGAACGTCCCGCTGCCCGCCGTGCCCCGCCCGCCCCTCCCCGACATCCGCCCGCCCGCGGCCGACGCCAAGAAGCTGCGCGTCCTCCACCTCACCGACATCCACTTCGACTTGTTCTACCAGCCGGGCAGCAACGCCCACTGCACTGATCCGCAGTGCTGTCAGGAGGACAGCGGTGGTGAGTGCTTGCTTTTTTGCAACTGCACTTTTGCAATTAATTTAATTTAAATTTTAACTAATTTAATCGAACGAGCTAGTTGGTTGATTTAAACCAAGTAATCAGAGTATGAATTTATTTTTAAATACCTTAAATACTTTTTGAATACTTAGTATTATATGACCAGTTGAAATTAATTGAATTTTCATTGGTTTCGTTTCATTGATCTGCATTGATTTGTTTGACCTTGTGGCGCTCATCTGCTTGTCAGTGGTGGTTTCCTTATCTCTGGGCACTGCGTCCGCTGTCCCTATCTAATCGTCCATGTGCGCTTGATACCATTGCACCACATTTTTACGGTGCACTTAATTATCTGCAATGTTTTCCCCTTGGTGATTGGTGTGCGATGTGCCAATTATCTTGCGCGGCATCTTTTCATCGTTATCTTCAATTACCTCCACTGATAAGCGTATAGCTTTTTAGGTTTTTGTTATTCAAATAAGCATTCCTTTGTTCGCCTGTTATGATTTACGGCTCATTTATTCCGGAACAGCTACCTATCTTATTATCACGCCAGATAACACAGTGGAATTATTGCCTTTTAATTAATTACTGCATTAAACAGCAGTACAGTACAGGAATTCACAATAAATAAAAAAAACGGATTTAAATTTTATAACTGGCATCACGACATTAGCTTGGTAAATCAGCGAAAGTCTGGTAAGCTGATTTGATTCGCTTTTCGCAGATGTTGTGGGACGAGCGGCCGGTGAATGGGGCGACAGCGGCAAGTGCGACGTCCCGGCACACCTGGTGGACAACATGTTCAGCTGGATTGCCAAGAATGATCATGTAAATTATTTAAATACGATAGTTTACCCACTGAATTTAAATAACTACGTGTAGTTAATTGCACTGCCGGTGTATAAATAGTTCGACTACATCCTGATGACCGGCGACCTGCCCGACCACACCATCTGGAAGCAGAGCCGCGCGCAGCAGCTGGCGGTGCTGGACATGACGGTGGAGTACCTCAAGCGCCACTTCCCCAACACGCCGGTCTACCCCGTCGTCGGCAACCACGAAAGCGCTCCCTGCAACACGTAGGCCCCTCGCCACATTAATGATAGTGTCTAGTTGCAATTAATCACCACTGCAGTTGTTAACGCTGGATGCTGCAGCTTCCCGCCTCCCAATGTCGGCGGCTCCAACACCATCGGTTGGCTGTACGACGCCCTGGCCGACGCCTGGAAGGACTGGCTGCCGCAGGACGCCCTCAGGACCGTCACAGCGTAAGGACGCTTCACAGCCGTGGACACGTTGGTTGACCTTAAGTAGAAATAATTAAACTTGATCGGCAGGGGCGCGTACTACCGCATCAACCCGTACCCGGGCCTGCGCATCATCTCGTTGAACAACAACTACTGCTACAACATGAACTTCTTCCTCCTCATGAACACCACCGACCCCAACGGCCAACTGGCCTGGCTCATCAACGAACTGCAGGCCGCCGAGACCGCCGGCGACGCGGTGCACATCATCGGGCACCTGCCGCCCGGCAGCGGCGACTGCATGCGCACCTGGACCGACAACTACCTCAAGATTGTCGCCCGGTACGGTTTAGTTGATATACCGACATGTTGTGTTGACTGAATTCTGACTGGTTGTATAACAGGTACCAAGGCACGATCCGCGCGCAATTCTACGGCCACGAACACAAGGATAACGTTCATCTTTACTTCGATCCCGACTTCCCCAACCGCGCCACCGGCGCCGTCTATGTGGGGCCCAGTGTGACTACCTACACCGGACAAAACCCCGGATTCCGCGTGTATACTATCGACGGCGACTACGCAGGCAGTTCCTGGGTAAGCGACAGCGCGCGACGGTCTTTATTTGCGCCGGTTGCAACGAAAAGTTCCCTTAATTCAGGCGGTTCTGGACCATGAAACCTACATCGCCAACATCACGGCGGCCAACCTGCAGCCGGAAGTGGGCCCCGTGTGGTACAAGGAGTACAGCGCCAAGGAGGCCTTCGGACTGGAGCAGCTGGAGCCGCGCAACTGGAACGCCCTGCTCGACGAGTTCGAGCGCGACGACGCCAAATTCCAGACCTTCTTCCGGTCAGATTGTACTGGCACTGCTAGACGTTGTAAGCCTTTTTCTAAGTGATTTTAATTTGGACAGGTATTACTGGAAGTCGGACGACACCTCGGTGAACGCCGGGTGTGACGCGGCTTGTCGGCACCGTATGGTCTGCCACATGCGGCCGCGCCACCCCACTTGCGCCTTCTAATCCGCTCCCGCACCGTGATATCAGTCTGCAGACTACGGTATTTACACGCTGGTCCTGAATTAAACTGTGCTAGTCAAAAAAAGCTCCTTCTTGGTATGGTGTTTTGTGGGAGCATGTGTGTAGTTAAAGTTAAACCAGTCAGTTTGGAATAAACCTGCTGATGAGAGTGTGTAAAATATGTGCGCTTGACTGTGCAATATTAACGAGAAAATTATTATCGATTATAAAATATCAATAAAGGGAATAAAGGATGGATAAAATGAGCCATTATCCCGTGCAGTTTCATCCAAGCGGTGGCACGTCGCCGTTGTCGGCGAAGCCGGGAGAGTCCGGGCGATTCCGCACCGGCGCGGAAAATCTGGAATGTAGTGGGTGTTCTGCGAGAGTGCGCTGCTGGGAGCAGATGTGCAGACTGCAGCTCTGCTTCGCCGACGGCTCCACTTCCAGCAACGTGTTGCTCGTCCTGCTCGCATTCTCCACTGCCGTGTTCCCTATGGCAGCCGCGCACTTCTCACCGGAACTGGCCACTGGCCGGGCATCGCGGGCCTTCATGGTTGCGCTGACCCGCTGCGCAGTTCGGTTGGCTGCCTCAGCCTGCAACCGGCATTTAGCAATTGCATTAGTGGTACTTTTCCGCTGATTTTGTTCGCACCTTGGGCAGCGTCAGCACCAAATGACCGCTCGTAGACGAGCGCTGAGCACTGCTCTGACTGGCCGCAATTTCTTCGGGCATTCTCAATTGCAGAATCTGTTTGCAGCACAAACGAGGTGTGCTTGCTACTGCGTCGTGGGATTTTTTCTTATATTTTCTCACCTTCCCTTTTACGGTGATTCTCACATAGTTGGCTTGGATATCCACGTCGATTAACGACGTATCCAAATGCCTGGAAACTGTATCCTTTATCAACTTCCGCTGCATACTGCAGCTAAAATGACCCTATTCATTTTGGTATTTGTGAACCAGATAAGTATAACTCGAGCAATGCTGTCGCTCCTAACGTCTATTTTTATCCATTTTTGAACACGTAACCTCCAATAATTATTATTAAAGTAATTAAACCTACGAGTACGAACAGTAGTGACAGAGATGCGATGTACTCGTACATACAACAGGCATTCCTTTTATATAGCTTTACGCTGGCACATTCCTCAACGTAGACGTACCGGTAAATAGGCACATCGAGCAAAAACTGACAGTTTTCCTCGTCATCATTCAACTGATATTCCAGCCTGTACAGATAATTATTACCTGATAATTCCCATATTAAATTATGTGTCTACACTCTACACGTGTTCAGGCAAAACTGCGGATGCTACTCGCGACGATGGCAGTGCAAATAAAAAGCATGACAATAAAATAATCAGAAGGACAAAATATCATTACCCATAATCATTACAATTACTTGTATTATTACGATTACAAACTGACCACGCTGTCATATAAACTTTAGTACAAGTGTGTACGTGGAGATGTCAGTGTAATGTAATGTGTACCTAGCCTCGTTAACATTGAGTATTTGACCGGACTTGCTGACCAGCTTGACGGTCCGTTCTTCGGCTTCTGCGCCACACAGAACCGCCTTGCATGATCTGCAACAAGACCGCTTTACACACCAACCCCACACGCAGAATGCAGAAAGAATTTACTGGAAAACTGTACAGATCAACGAGGAATCAGGAAACGTCTACTAACAACGATTAACTGACTAGCGCTGACGGATTAACGTCGGCTGGGAACATGCAGAGAGGACTGTACAGAAGACAGATGCCGAATGAATCACGGAGCGAAGAGTAGGAGTCGGTAGGTACTTGTGTCTAGCGGCGGCGGTCTGGCCGAGGGCGGCGGCGCGCAGACGCGTCATCTGGCGGCGGTACTCGGGCGACCAGGGCAGCCGCTGCACGTCCTCCGCCGCGGACAGCTGCCGTTCGTTGTCGGCGCGCTGGGCGTCCTTAGAGAAGGAAGCCCCGTCAATCACATTCACTCGACTCAGTTAGGCGTGCGAAAGAGCAGCGCGTCGGTGGCCAGCGACAGCGAACGCACCCGCTTCGTCTTGTACAGGTGCTGCTGCTTGATCACGCGGCTCTTGATCTCCAGGAACTCCTGCAGCGCCGCGATCCGCTCCGTCCGGCTCACTTCCTGCCCGTCCAACACCTGCCAATGGCCACCGCACGCTGCATTAACATTTCATTACAAACCCACAACTGTTATTAGGTAATACGTTCACAATAAAATATGCTCATCCTATTATTATCATTTTCTGCTTCCGCTTTTCGCCATTTTGTAATGCAAAATAAATTACGAAGAGCATCAGCACGTTGTGAAAAAAAGGCGACCGTGATTACCTGCAGGAATTCTCATTTTCGTAGCCTACACACCAGCCGCATCGATTAGCAATTGAGCACTGAATGAAAGCCGGAAAACCGCTTACGCAACGTGACGCGACACAATTCTCGGAGACAATCGTGAAATAACAGTCTGGCGCATTTCATAACTGCTGTGCATTGTGATTACTGCTTGTTATGCGTTACTGCACACTTGGCGCAACATTACAGTACAATGCAATGTTGGCAATGCGACGCTGCAGCATGGCTGCGGCCTTCTGCAACCCAGGCTGACAAAGGAACAGCGATCACGAGCGCCGACCTGACCTCAACCCTTACCAGGCCCTGACGTAACAATTTCACAAGAAACCTAACACAAAACCATAAAAATGCCAATTTTCGACGTGTGATACTGAGATCCAACTGAACAAAAAATTTTATATTTAAGAACAATTTTTATGTAGACATTTTTTCACGTTAAATACAGTAATCACATAGATATAATTTTAATCTACTCTGTAATTTGAATACCGGTGGCGCTAACCAAACATTCTACCGGAAGCGCACAGACGGAAATGATGTCATTCCCTAGCGGACGGAACAATGCAATCGCTGTTTTCACCGCGACAGCCCTTATCATCGCCAGCAAAATGGCCGTCTTAAATTCCCTGCTTATCTGTTTACCTGCGCATTGCGAACGATAAACGTACCTTGAGGTGGGGCAACGCGGCGACGACGTACTGGCGATAACCGTCGAACTCCGCGCACGGATTACCCGTCAGAAACCTGCAACCAAACAGCTGCAGCAATTTCCAAAACAAATACAGAAAAACCCGAACGAATCGCCGTCGATTAATCAACCGTTAACATGAGGGAAGCAGTAGGACTGCAGCGGAAGTAAGGATAAAGGCACTTACAACTGGTCGAGGCAGGCGTTCTGGCGCAGATTCTCCACGGAGGTCAGGTCGCCGATGAAGTTGGCCGTCAAGTCCAGCTTCTGCAGCGACTCGCAGCCCTCCAGGTTCTCGATGCGCTCGATGCTGTTGAGGGCCAGATTGAGGTACTCCAGCGCCTTCAGCCGGTTCAGGTTCTCTGCAGTTGGCATCAAGAGAACATTACAGCCAACAGCGCGGATGCCGCACACTTTTGAATAATGGTCTACCGATTTTCTGGATGCTGTTGCCCTGCAGATACAGGATCTTGAGGTCCTTGCACCACCGCCCGATGTCGTCGATTCTGCAATGCAGTCGCCTTTCAACTCTTAACCATACCACCAACTACTAGGAATCCCGCCGGGCAGAACCATTTTAAATTAAGCCGAAATATAAAGATATCGACAATTTCCGACAACGAAAAAGCAGATATCACTGGCATGATGACATCGAGAAATTAATTCTGTTACAGTAATACTATACTGAGAAGCTGGAATATTATCATGCTGTTTATTATCAGTGTTATAATATTATTTCTTATCATCATGGATATTATCCACAAGAGGCTAAAGAACTGTTAATATTATTATCCAAAATATTATCCAAGAGAGTTTTAAAAAAAATATGATACGTACGCGGACGCTGTTTCTGTTGTCAGTTATTTTTTACTACAAGTATTTATCTGGCTATCATTGTGCATGATTGTTGAGTGCGGCACTGTGCGTGTCATGCGTATCTGGCACCTACAAGCTACCAAGACGGTACGAAAAGCGCGGTGCTTACTCTTCGAGGTTGTCCTGGTGGAGCGCCAGCTCCTGGACGGTGTGGATGAGGCCGTCGTTGTGTTCGCAGCGCTTGCGCAGCAGGTCCAGCGTAACTGCAACCAACGCCAACAAACGTCTTACAATTGTCAGCTCGACTAGCTGACAAGGCTCCTGCTTCGCTCCCTCTACACTCTACAGACTATTTCCCTCCAGCAGACATTCACAAATGACAATCACTGCATTATCCGTTATCGGCGCATTATATTCGTAATGATGAAGACACTCGTTACGGCTAGCCCACAGGACGCAGGTGAGTCTAATCTGCGAGGACGCAGGATCATGCAGCCAGCTCTGCTTACTTCTCGTCATTGTAATTTCAATCCGCCCCCTGCGAGCTGCAAGTGGGAAGGATCACGATGGAATCAGGAGTGCACACTGCACAGCTGCACGACAGTACTATCCAACTATGATACTATATCCAAGGGATCCTCGCGACCACTTCGCGATCCGCACAGTCGCCCCAACACTGTCAACAACACTTTACAACAGCTAATTCCTGTCAGCTCAACTATCAACCAACGAACGACGGGAAATCAGCCCGCTTTCCGCACTCGGGATGTCAGAGACTCGCGGCTACGATTAATGCAGCAGCGATCGAACCTCGCAGCGACAGATCAAGTTCGGATAGATAAATTAATGATCAATCTTCCACAACTACTCCCATCCAGCTTTTACAACACTTATAACACAAACGCAACGTTGATTCACCCGCTCACCCAACAAAATCAAATCTGCACTGGAAACCTTGATAAGAAACACAAACAACAAGGACTGGCTACAATGAACAACGAGCTCTAAATGCCAAGCGAGCAACAACGCCAACGAACGCTGAGCAGTGAGCACAGAGCCGTGGTGTGAAGTTGTGAACGGTGAAATTTGAATGGTGTCAGTGTCGCCGTCGCGGCGACACGTAAATGATTTACTGTACCTATCAATGATTTCACCGGAAATGCGTCATTCTTCATTTTATGAAAATGATCATTACCTAGTATAGATACGACTCTCAAGTCCAACATCGCGGAAACGTACAGTAATTATTTTATTCATTTATCTTTATTCCTAAATAATTATTAATTTTGGCACAGAAAATTAAGGGAGTGTATCGTTCGTACAAGTATCTATATAGGATATATCTATAGATAACGGCATGTGCGCCATAATATTTTACTAAAATTAATAACTAACAAGTATTTCGCACTTGTACAGCTTATTGATGTTGTTTGGACGTAATAATAAGTACTAAACAGGTTAATAGTTTTATTTGCAAGTATGAAGTACATACAGTACTTGTAAGTTGTAAGTAGAAAGTAGAAACTGTAGAATTAACTTGCAGCTTTACCAGTTACGAGTACATACTGACGTGGGTAAACATAATTATTAAATACCTCTACAACACTTAAATTCTCACAATATCAGTGTCCGAGTGTCGTTAATTATCAGTTTAAAATGATAATACTAATAAATATTACAATAATAAACTTTATATCGTTATTGATTAAATTTTTCACTTTCTACAGCACTGTACTTGTTGGACTTTACCGGTGTTCTTTTTCACGATCGATCGTACATCACTACAGTAGCACAGTGTACCCTACTTACCTTAAACCGGAAGGAACAAATTCACAAAACCGCAACTGACTTTCTGAATTCTGACTAATTAAATTTTAATTTATTCTGACAATACAGTACTGTACTGAATTAACGACAAGGCAATTTTTGTACATTCTGCTTGTCTACAGACTACAATGTACGTGCTTACAGTACGTGCCGGAAATCCAACAAAAACTGATGGCTTAATAATTTATCGTTAGCACGTATTACGTAAGTACTTAAAATTTCGAAACGTCATATTGACAGCAAATTTTGTTTGTTGTTGCTGGGCTGCAAGATTGCGAGTTACAAGCTTACAGCTGCCATTGAATCTAGGAAGCAAATTAATTTATGATTGGTAAAAAATTATATTAAAATTAAATAACGTAAGCTAGTTAAATAAATTTTGAAATTATTTACTTAGAGGTTTATACTGCAATTAGAATTTTATGTGCAACTCTCTTTATACTGTATCTATATTGTATACTTAGTAAAGAAAATAAAATAATACGTACTGTTTTATGTATGCCGTAGAAACTACAAACTGTAAATAATTATTAAGAGTTGCCTATTACCACTAGTAGTGCTTGTTTACAACTTTAGTTACTTACTGTCTTTACATACAGCAGTTCAGCTTTGTTCTGCATATAACATTCCATTTGCTGCCGTTTTAATAATAATAATTATTATTATATAGATATTCAACGATATAAAAGTAATACTACCGTATGTACCTACGCTAATGTAGTACAACAGCACTAACTACACAGTACACCGTTTGCACGGAAATCAATCAGCATTCTGCTGCTGCTGCTGCTGCTGCAATCATTTTGTGTGTTTCACTGTTTAGTCACTTTGGTGGATTTTTCGATTTTGTCACGTTCTTGATTAACGAACCTATTATATTATAATATTAGAAATATCTTTTGCTGGTTTTTCGTTATTGCAGGGACAGTAGAGGTGTGCACAGTTCATTTGTGAGAGGGATTTGATGGCTGTGCGCTGAGTCGCTGATAGTCATTTGACGTGGATGGTTCTCCGTTGGGTGCATTATTTGTATGAAGGAATTGGGAAGTGTAACTGCTTGGCAGTAGCTGTTGGTAGCGATCTGGATGGAGTGCCCGCCCGACAAGTGCAGCACGAAGCGGGCAGCAGGGAATAGCATGGCCCGGAGCAGCGGGGCCCCGTCCGTCAACCGCGACTACCTGTCAGTGTCGGGCAAGTTCGCCTCGGAGCTGCGCAAGGCCCGCACTCGCAGCCGCGAACTGCACCAGACGGCCCCCAACCCCGGCCACTGTGATCGTATGCTGTGCGCCCCGCTCACTCTGTCCCTTCTCTTTCCCTGCCCCCCTTAACACTGCCTTTTGCAGGCCCCTCCAAATGCGCCGCCCCTGCCAAGCCCTGCGCCCAGGTGCTCAAGTCCAACCTGGTCAGTTTGAACTTTGACGCTGACTCACTCCAACGCTGCTGCTTTGAGCTCTCTTGACGTCTTGCAGCCCGCTTCCTCCGACAACTCCTCCTGCGAGCGCAGCAAGGCCTCCTGCCGCACCCGGAACCTCAGCCCCTGCAGTTCCCGGGGCTGTGCAGCCGCAGCAGCGCCCGCGGCGGGTGACCAGCGGGCGCGCATGCCAACCGCCCCGGACGCCTGCCGCGGCCAGCTGCAGTCGGCGACGCGCGATAACTGCGCCAAGGCCATTGCCAGTACGCTGCGCAAGGCCCGCCACTCCCCGCTGAACGACACCGAGAACTGCGGACTGCCGGGACTGGTCAAGCCGAAGGGCAACAACGCCCTGCAGGAGCTGGAGGACAAGGTGGACTTTCTCAACTGCCAGGCCCAACAGGTGCGCTGCATTAATGGTTACAAGAATTAATATTTCCTACGAAAAGCCAGTTATTGTACTTCTTAAAACATTCCTGTAGAAAAACAATAACGAACGCAGTAATACTTGTTCAGCAATATTTTGCGTATTTTTTCTTGTGATTTATTTTGTTGTTGTTTATCAGTAATAATTCATTTGTATTAAAATAATAGTGTGTCGGAACTGACACCACGACAACGTCAGTGGCATTGCATGCAGAATTGCTGTGTTGCGTGGCGCGCGGGAGAGAAAAAAGTTTTCTTCCTGTTTGTGGGTGAAACCGTGAAGTAACTGATGGTCTTGTTTCTTGCAGCTGCTGAAGCAGTTGAAGCGCGAGCAGGTTGAGCGCGAACGCATGGCCGAGCAGTACGACGAGGCGCTGGAGGAGATCCGGCGACTGCGCGACCGCGAGCGCCACCCCAACGCGGACGCCGAGGCGCGCCTGCGCCGACTGGAGTGCGAGCGCGACGAGGCCACGGCTAAGATGCGCTCTGCCCAGGTGGACAGCGAGGAGTCCAAGTGCAAGCTGGATGTGTGTACTTGTCGTTCTCTGACGGTGTGCAGGAAATAAATCGATGACGTGTGCGATGTTTGTAGCGCTTGACGGACGACAGCTGTCGCGAACGGCAGCGTCTGCTGGACAAGATCGCCACGCTGGAGCAGCGCATGCACGGCCGCGAGGCCGAGCAGGAGGAGTTGTCGCGCCGGCACACGCGCACGCTGGAGACCCTGGCCAAGATGGAGACGCAGGCGGACGAGCAGAAGACGAAGATCCTGGTGCTGGAGGATCAGAAGCAGGAGCTGCTCAAGCAGCTGGACAATCTGGGGTCAGTTAGTGGTGTCTGTCGATTAAAGTGGCATGTAACTGAGGAAGACGGTGGGTTTAGGCTGTTCGTGAAGGATCTGGAGGCCAGCAGCAAGCAGCTGCACGAGCGACTGGACGAGAAGCGCTACGAGGTGCACGCGGCGCGCGAACGGACCACCGAGCTGGAGGAGCTGCTGGGCCGCGTGGACCAACACCTGCTGCATGAGCGGGAGCGCAGTGTGCAGCTGCAGAACGACGCCTACCAGGCGCAGCTCAGCGGCCAGCAACTCCGCACCGAACTGCGCAACCTCCTCAAGAAGAAGCCCAAGACCGACTGCAAGTGAACTGCTCTTTCTTTCTTGTTACCCTATTTCCGGTCGTTTTTGTTCCTTTCCATTGCCTTGCTCATTCCTTTCACGGAGCCTGTTGTTACGGGGAAAGTGGGCGTCTGTGTGTAAATAGGGAATTAAATGTAATTGAAATGGATTGGCGCAGCGTGGCGGGCTGCATGGCGGAAATGCGTCAGGCATAATGAATATTGATGAGGGAAGGGAAGGGGAATTGCGGCGGGAATGGGCTGGACAGGGCAGCGGCGGTGTAACGGCCCCCGGTGGGCGGGCGACGCGGCCCAAATGGGCCCGCGCCGGGGTGGTCCGGCCCGGCACGGATATAGGGCGATAGGAAGGCAGACGGGACGGGTGAGCTCCCCGGGGAACGCGACGGGGACTACCGCCGACTATTTGCAGTATCGGGCTGTTGGCTCATTAGGGCGCAGCACATCCAGCACAGCAGGCACGGCGAAATGGGACGTTGACAATCAAAATGGCCCGCTCCCCGTTCCTTACTTCCCGGCTATCGCTGTCGCTGCCAGACAGATCTAAACGCGCGCTATTATGAACAGATTGCCTTCTGTCTCGGCAGGACAGGACAGAATACACAGGCGCTGTAAAGGCACAATCTGCCGGGAAATGGACCGGACAGTGAGACAGGCCAGACAGGCGGCCATTCATGATTCATCCAGCCCATCTATTCGGCATTATAGCTGTACTATCCCGCTGCTGACTGAAATGGGATACTTGCTGGCTGTACAGTCATTAATAACCATCACACGGACAGCGGTTTAATGAGTTCCTCTCCGGGAATCGAATGGGAATAGGAACTGGATCCAATGAATAACTGCACATTGTACAAGTAGACTGAAGTAGTCACAGATCATCCTACCGTACGTGTGCACATGCACCTAAAAAGGGCTAAAATAAAGGGAACAAGATGCAAATGAATTCTAGTTGAATATGAATGTACGAAGTATGTTAGTAGTAGACAGAGATTTGGAATTTGCGAAACATGTTGTGTTGTTGTCTATACGTAAACCTGTACAATATATAGATATGCGTTCTGCATATTTCCGGTCTCGCCGAGGATCTCGCTGAAGTCAATGCCGGGAATGTGGAAGAAAAGCCCGTGGCGGGATAGTTCTTTAAAATAGTGAGAATTAAATATCAGTTTTATGCCCATTTTGTGCTCACACTACGGTACAGCGATTGCAATATGTTGTTAACGTTAAGGACGTTGTACGTGCATGCCCTTATCCGTCATGGTCAATACTCAATAGCAAATATTAATTATATGCATGCATATGCATAACAATAAAAGTAATTAAATGTACCATGGTGGCAGTTGCAGTCGGAATACAGGTGGATCACTGGATAGTGAGTGGTACTCGTCGACTCGACGTGAGCTGATTATAATACCGTCATAACGTCATTGATTTACTGTAATTATTTGCAAGTATGCACCCATACATTAATTTCATGCAATGGTGTAAGAAAATTAATTTTCACGTACCGCAGTTCTCAAACCCGAAAAGGCGCCTACACGACTATACACGGATATGAATTATTAGTAAGTACGTATGTTATATCTATACGCACTTACTTAAAGTACGTATGTTATACGCACTGCAATTGGCTATTTATACGAGTATCACAAGCCGGAAATGATCAGTAATTAATTTGAGAAAGACCGTAAAAACATGGCTGGTCTTATTCAGGCAATTGACTGTTGTATGCCAATAAATATATATTCACACGAAGCGTTCTCCTCAAAAGAAAAGGAACGTAATGAGATTAATAATAATATATATATAAATATATGTATTTTGTGCATTGTAAGCAATTTCTGTATGTAGTAATACTTATTAAAAAATCAAGTACATAATAATATATAAGCTTTACGCTATTACGCTGTATATCTGTATATTTCTCAGTTTGTATATAAAGCTGCAAATTGCTGCATTATTCAAAATGGAGTAAGTAATTTGAATGTTCCCATATGGATAAAAACTATAAATGCAGTATTACCCGCTTAAATTATGTCGGACAATCGCCGGTACATGCGTGGCTAATGGCTGTGCAAGTGGAATTGTATACAGTACATGATTCACAGCCTGAGCTATCGAATAATCCCGTTTTATTATCCCGATTCCTGATGTCCAGACTGCCGATGGGGCTGAATACCATGAATAAAGCCCGGTTAGTACTCGTATGTACGTAGAAATACAGCAAGTTATACTACACGTATCTGTATGTTTATATAATATAATATAGATATAATATCTAACACAACCGCAAAGTCTACAGATTTGTGTTGCAATGCTTGCTGCATTTAAGTACGATATGAATTACAGTAACTGGAAGGTCGAAGAGGGTATACGAGCGTCACCGCTGGGCCAAGGGGAATCCGTACAGTTGTACTGGGAAAAGGAGGAAGCGAAGCGGGAGCGTATACAGACTATACAGTACGTCATCCGAGTATATACTCGTAGTATTGATACAGTAGATACCACTATTCAAGTCCAGCTGCACCCGGCCCGACCTAGAGTAGTAATATACAAGTACAGAGTCTGTAGATATGCGTACAGCAGCGTTATAGCGCGCGTATATACACTTGTATGATCCCTCCACTGCTCAACGGGAACGCTCCCGTTCCTCTCCTGCGGTCGTCTGACTACTCCACAAGGCACGGGCTAGACGCAGGCTCGGCATCCTCTCTCCCTTACCGTTGATTCATCCCGACAGATACGCTGCATTCAGCGGCATTACCGTACATCGCCAACGCGCATGCAAGCAAGGCCGGCCTGCTTGTACTGTGTACGAGTAGGTGCTCGTATATCGTATTTTATGCGACATGCACTGCTGCAGAGTGCAGAGTCAGACTGTAGGTACTGCATACAACGGCAGTCTCACTGCATCATATCCAGCTGCCTGCTCCGGCATCCACATCATCCCGTTTTTGCCGGCGTTTGTAGATAGCATCTGCATCCAGTTTCCGTGCAGCTGGGCTGCAGCGCGCGCCCACGGCCATGCGTCGATCCCGGTCTGGAATCTGGATCTGGCAGTGCACGCCAGTGAAATAAGGAGTTAGTGCTGCGCTCGCTGTGCTACAATACACGGTGCAGCCGCGACCTGCTGGCATTGCCGCAGCAGTTCAGCACACAGCCCTGTATCCGCTGCACGCATTTAGATTTCCACGAAGTCCTGCGCTGTCTAATTAGCCTGTTTTCTCCCTGTCCCGCTCCTGATCATGATCATGACGTGCAGATCATCCCGGCCCGTAAGCGCGTTATATAGCGGCACTGCGGCTGCTCGTATATACGCGTGCCGTATTAAATCCCTGCACTCTTCCTCTGTTCTTCCCCTCACCAAGACACCTCAGGCTCACCTTTGTGCGCTGATTCAGTGCCTGCCCATTAGACATGAGCCATTATCCGCATTGTCGCTCTAATCGCGCACATCCCGCGTCCTCTGTATTCGGTATTCCCACGCTCCAATTACGGGCTCCTTTAATTCCTTTCTTCCATCTCCGACCTAACACCACACATATGTCCCGGACCAGCGCCGCCTGCGCCCACGTTCTCTACGTGTCCTACAAAGAATGCCTGCCCCGAAATCAAGCGCCCTGGCCGCCATATGCAGCCGATATACATATCAACCTATACAATTTTAACCGGAAGCTGGTAAGCGCACTATTCTTTCCATAAGGGACAACTGATCGTGGCGGATAATAAAGGTCTACGTTATTATACAGCTTTTGAATGTACGAGTACACAGATTTAGAACACGCTGTAAATTCTGTAATTACGGTGCTTTTATTTCGGTAGTTAATAAACAGAAATCATTTATAATGGTTCAGCACTGCTGTAAGGTCATCAACATAGAGTCAATTAACTGCAACAACCTTGACGGTAATTTGCAGCGTTTCTGATAGGTGGGACAAGTGCTTACGTTTGTCTGTGTGCTAGTATATCAAGATGTTGAATTGGCCATGATCGGGGTGAAATTTTTGTCAATCAATATGGCGTGTATCGATTATAATTATACGGAGAGATACTGCACTGCAGCTGCAGACAAATCAATACATTGTATACACATCTGCCACCACTACGTACGTATATAACGCGATGTATATAACATTATTTGGAAAGGATACACTATGTATATGTAAGGAAAGAGTACTTCCATTTGGGCAAGTTGTTTAAAAGTGCAGTATGCCGGCAAAACGCGGCCCATGATTTTAAATTTCTCAGGGAGTCTGGCTCAATTTTTTTGGAGAAACGGAATTGATTGGCGAGCCAATGACTATGACTCAGCGGCGGTGGTGGATGTTGACGTAGAAGAATAGTTAAATGTTATGATAAATTGTAAAGGTCACCGGTCAGGTTGCTCGTTACAAAATTATTGCACAAATATATTATTGTACGTGCAACGTCGGCCGTTGGGGATGCTCTGGAAGGGATGCAGAATGACCGGCAGCCGCATACAAGTACACACAGAGCGCGTCGACGCTCGACTGCACATTACTGGACCAGTATCGAATGTGCGGCCGCGGGATGGGGAGGAAATGAAGCCGGTCTAATGTTAGCGTGACTGTCATTAATTTGGCTCAAGCTCGCCGGCATAATGGCAGCCTAACGTAAACGCACGGTATCCGCATTAAATTAAAGCAGGCCTGACCCCGATGGGAGCCTGATGAAACGGGGATTATGTTGACCGGCGCTGACAAGAGGAGCGGCACTAATAGGCGAACAAGGGAAAGAGACGCGCCATGTTGACAGCATATATAATAGTCCTTTATGAGAGTCCTTTATAATATCTGTACAAAGAGAGCGCAGGTAAATCGGACTGCAAAGCCACCATGCACTGTATATAGCCTATGAGCCGAACGTCTGCGTACGTCTTCCCTGGTTTCCCTGCATTCCCTCCCGTCCCGTCACATTCCGCTGGCGATCCAATGTAACCCGCGCTGCACGCTGTACGGCCTCTCGCTCCGCGCCTGGGCTTCCCTCCCTCCCTGCATGGCAGCTGCAGGGAACTGCAATATATATCAAGGGAGCATGGCAGATTAAAGAGTGTAGAGATTCTGTGTACGGAATTGATATTACAACGCGCGGGCAGTTGCGTAGAGAAGCGATCAGACCGCTGATGGAATGTGATTCCGGCGTTAGGGGATATGGAGAACGGT